TAGGGGTGGTAGCTATATGCCTAGAGAGCGGGAAAGCCACGGCGTGCGTTTACGTGTGGTGTCTCGCATGATCCCCTCGAAGAGAATTATTTATATAGATAGATGATCCAAAGATTAATTATAGACCACACCCTGAAGAGCAACAACTCTGACCCACGAGAAAGATTGAAGAAATGTACACTGGATGTCTGGACAGAATAAATGCGCTTTCTTTTTCCTCTTGTGTATTATAGCAGAGTCAATCAAACTGTGTTTATTTCAGACTTTTTCTCCCGGGGTGGGGGTGGGGGGAGGGGTAACTGGTACAAGTATATGCTTTCTATATAAATTCTATTTCGTTCGTGGTAGCCGAAGGTGGGGGGGGGGGGGGGGGGGAGAGCCTAAGAAGGAACTCTGATCCCCACACCTGAATTAATCCCGAACACCCACACTTAACATGCGTCCACTAATCCCACCCACACACACACACACAACATGCGTCCACTAATCCCACCCACACACACACACAACATGCGTCCACTAATCCCACCCCCACCACACACAACATGCGTCCACTAATCACACCACACACAAAATGCGTCCACAAATCCCACCACACACAAAATGCGTCCACTAATCTCACCCACACACAACATGCGTCCACTAATCCCCCCTCCCCACACACAAAACAATCACACCCCTACTGATACCTAACACCCCCACCCAAGTAACATACCCACAGTAAACCCCTTCACAAATGCAAATTATTTCCCTTGCCTACACTACAACACATCACAATCATTTTGCCCATACTAAATTCTCACGCACTAAATTCACCCACAACGAATATTCCACACTAAATTATCCTATACTAAATTCTTCCACACTAAATTCTCCCACACTTAATTCTCGCACACTAAATTCTCCCACACTAAATAATCTCACACTACATTCTCCCCCACTAAATTCTCCCACACGAAATTCTCCGACACTAAATTCTCCCCCACTATATTCTCCCACACTAAATTCTCCCACACTAAAGTCTCCCACACTAAATCCTCCCACACTAAATTCTCCCACACTAAATTCTCACACACTAAATTTTCCCACACTTAATTCTCGCACACTAAATTCTCCCTCATTGTTGCCAGACGTTTTTCCAGACCCGGTATCCCCAAGGTTTTGTTAAATGTTATCACAACTGGACAGTGTGGTCTAGTATGTAGTACGCCCGCTAACTAAACTGATAGATCGGTACACGGCCTGGTACCGGAGAAAACATCAAAAGCAGCTAAAGTTAATGAAGGTGACAACGAGTCAGCACCCACCAACCCGTTTTAGCGCTTGTAAAAGCTCGTTAACATAAAGGGTTTAAGACATGTTTTTCCTCTTACTATTTAGTCTTAGATATAGGGCTAACAAAAGCACCGTCAAATAAGTAACATAATAAGTAACACGAGCCGACCCGCGGCGTATCATATGCCGCTATATAGTTGTTTTATTTTCTACTTTTCAGTAATTTATAATTTGTGAATTCGACACTACCGTCCCTTCCCCCCTTCACGCCCCCCCCCCCCCCCCCCCGTGAAAGCAGCTGTCAGGGACGACAGTTTACAGACTACAATGAAAAGATCAGGCAGAACTTGTTATTACCTCATCTTAGTTTCAGAACTAAATGACCCGGCTCAACGAATGTAAACATTTAGCGTGAACTACAGCTCACCAGATTGGTAGGGGTGGTAGCTATATGCCTAGAGAGCGGGAAAGCCACGGCGTGCGTTTACGTGTGGTGTCTCGCATGATCCCCTCGAAGAGAATTATTTATATAGATAGATGATCCAAAGATTAATTATAGACCACACCCTGAAGAGCAACAACTCTGACCCACGAGAAAGATTGAAGAAATGTACACTGGATGTCTGGACAGAATAAATGCGCTTTCTTTTTCCTCTTGTGTATTATAGCAGAGTCAATCAAACTGTGTTTATTTCAGACTTTTTCTCCCGGGGTGGGGGTGGGGGGAGGGGTAACTGGTACAAGTATATGCTTTCTATATAAATTCTATTTCGTTCGTGGTAGCCGAAGGTGGGGGGGGGGGGGAGAGCCTAAGAAGGAACTCTGATCCCCACACCTGAATTAATCCCGAACACCCACACTTAACATGCGTCCACTAATCCCACCCACACACACACACACAACATGCGTCCACTAATCCCACCCACACACACACACAACATGCGTCCACTAATCCCACCCCCACCACACACAACATGCGTCCACTAATCACACCACACACAAAATGCGTCCACAAATCCCACCACACACAAAATGCGTCCACTAATCTCACCCACACACAACATGCGTCCACTAATCCCCCCTCCCCACACACAAAACAATCACACCCCTACTGATACCTAACACCCCCACCCAAGTAACATACCCACAGTAAACCCCTTCACCAATGCAAATTATTTCCCTTGCCTACACTACAACACATCACAATCATTTTGCCCATACTAAATTCTCACGCACTAAATTCACCCACAACGAATATTCCACACTAAATTATCCTATACTAAATTCTTCCACACTAAATTCTCCCACACTTAATTCTCGCACACTAAATTCTCCCACACTAAATAATCTCACACTACATTCTCCCCCACTAAATTCTCCCACACGAAATTCTCCGACACTAAATTCTCCCCCACTATATTCTCCCACACTAAATTCTCCCACACTAAAGTCTCCCACACTAAATCCTCCCACACTAAATTCTCCCACACTAAATTCTCACACACTAAATTTTCCCACACTTAATTCTCGCACACTAAATTCTCCCACACTAAATTCTCCCACACTAAATTCTCCCACACTAAATTCTCGCATACTAAATTCTCCCACACTAAATTCTCCCACACTAAACTCTCGCACACTAAATTCTCCCACACACAATTCTCCCACACGAAATTCTCCCACACTTAATTCTCACACACTAAATTCTCGCACACTAAATTCTCCCACAATAAATTCTCCCGCACTAAACTCTCGCACACTAAATTCTCCCACACTAAATTCTCGCACACTAAATTCTCCCACAATAAATTCTCCCACACTAAACTCTCGCATACAAAATTCTCCCACACTAAATTCTCCCACACTAAATTCTCGCACACTAAATTCTCCCGCACTATATTCTCCCACACTAAATTCTCCCACACTAAATTCTCCAAAACTAGAAATCTCCCAAATCTAAACTCGATACAAAAATAGTCTCCATCAAAATCACCCAAACATTCAACTCTCATTTACTATATTCCATCACATCCTTCCCCCCCCCCACCCCACCCCCCCCCTAACATGGAATGAAAAAGTGACACAGAATATTGGTGTTACTCCTGAGAGTGCACCAAGGTGTAACACAGTTCACAGCGGTTTGCTGTCGTCTTTTGTTTCTGGCAATTAATCTCGCGCGTAGAACTTTATTGTCAGGGGAAATAGCAAACAATAATTTTGTAAGGGAGGTAATTATAAAATTAAACGATAAAAAGAAAAGAAAAATGCATTAATATATATCTAAAAAAAAACAAGTAAACAAACATTAGTATTATCTATTAAAAATAAAATAGTAAGAAAAATATTTAAAACTTTTGGTGATTAATTACAAAATATTAATTACAACTCCTAGTAATTGTTAGTTGTTAATCCAATAATTACTAGTCATTAGTATCAACCAGCTGTAATATTAATACCAAGAAAACTGAATAAGTAACTGCTAAAAAGTCTTTTTGCGACTTCGCGTATTAAATGTGTTATTTATTTACACAGACGACTTTTTGACTAAGACAGGGGTCGGCAACCTGCTGCTCGCGAGCCGCATGCGGCTCTTTAGGTGTCCAGTTGCGGCTCTTCAGCTCCATGCACAAATATTAATAATTGTTTTATTTTATGTGCAAAACTCATGAAAATATTAGTCTGCAACACTCGGTAATAAACGATATAACATAAGATATAAACAATACACATTCACTATTATATTAGAATATTTAGTTACTCCCTATCTCAGTGTATTTCCTATTACATTGTCTATTCCGAATCGAAACATTCAACTTCATAGTGGATATCACAAAGAAACTAAACCAGCTAAGTGTAAAACTGAAAGGAAAAAACCCAGTCTATTTCTTGCTTGAAGAAGTGGTTTGTTTCGAAAAAAAATACTTTTTTGTTGAATAGGCCTACATGGTGAGCGGTAAATTACTTAATTAGAAAAACATGAAAAAAATATCGTTATAAAACCAATACTACTATTCAATCACTTCAGCATTAATATAAACAAAATGAGGGATGTTTTCACTGAGAGATTTGAGCTATTTAAACAAATGCAAGTACTCTTACTTACATAGTATATCCTCTCAACACAAATTCAAATGAGATTATTTCATAAATTAATTTGAAAGTTGCCTCCCTTGGCTAAAATACCGTGTATTGAATTTTATCCACTCACTAGTTAGCTAAAGACGTGGTGTGTTGAATTAAATGCATAAATCTTCTTATCTAGAACTAATCCAATTTGAAAATATAAAAAAAAATGTTTTGTACAGCTACAAATGACGTAATTTTTATGAACTGTACACCCATCACATTTCCTACTCATAGATCTATAGTACCCAACCGCCACCCAGAGTTTGATTTGCCCATGAAAGTATTTTTTCTCTACTTTCAGCTTTTTTAAAAATTAGAGTTTGATTAAGAATTGTATTCAATAACTGTTTTGGTTATTGTTAACATTTTGAAAAAAAATTTCTTTAAACTCTTAACATAAACTTGGTCTATCAAAGTCTATATTTTCCATTACAAAATCCATGAAAAGTTAATAGTTGAGTTCATTTTAGCCGAAATTAAAAGAATTTAGCATGTTTTCCATATGATCTTCCTACAAGATACATAGGATGCTATCCACATATATGCTACAACATACAGTATGCTACACACATAACACACCAAACAATAAACACCAAAAGGGCAAAATTTTCTTTCGTTTAATCACATTTAAATGACATGTTTATAGTGACATGATCTTTGCAAATGACATTTGAGATTAGTGACAAAAAAAATATTGTATGTACACGATGAAGAAAGAAACAGGAAATGTATAATGTTTCATGTTACTTTTGTTTACGTAAGATGATGACTTCAGTAGCTGCACTTGTGTGAGTAAAAATGGTAGTGGCAAAATGGTAGGAAGACAATACAAATAGCTTTAAACAAGTAGGGCCTAAAGTATCATTGTTTAACTAGCGATCTAGTTAGATAGCAATCTACCCTAAAAGTCAAATGACAATTAAACCTGGCAGACTACTGATAGTTATATTTAAAAATGTAATAAATAGTCATGTATGAAATTTTTTCAAAATTTAAATAATGGTTATAGCCCTTTATTTAAGCACCTAATGGTTATGGCCCTTGATGAGCACCAAGGGGAAGATAATGCATCCATTACAAGTGATCCCCGCGTACAACTTTCTCAGTACTTGGGCTAGGCAATATAAACAATTATAAGGCAATCAGGCATTGTGGTTCATCATCAATGATACAAATATTCTAATGGCAAAAAAAAAAATCTACTTCAGAATAAACCCAAAAGTTTCAGCTAAAAGAAAACGACCAACCTAAAACTATAAGATATGCTAGCAATAAATAAGACAAGTATACACATTATATACAAAATATCTGGCACATAACAAATTCAGCAGCAGTCTAGATAATATTCGATGCTCAGTTTTTTTAAAAATAATATCTAATTCAAGCTTTTCTAAAATATTAGAAAACTGTTTAGACTTAGGCCTTATGGGTGATTAAAGTTAAGCATGGACTTAGAATGGAAATAAACTTTGCTGCCGATGTGTTAAGACCTACTTCACAACACTCAACACACACTGACCACAGGTCTACCAATTAACCACACACCAAACACAGCAACCAAGAAATAATTTATATTATATGCCATTTTTTTCCAAAGGAGTACAGCTAAAGGAGAATTTCTACAATGAATAATTCACCCTTAGTGCAAATGTTTAATTTCTATAGATACAAGTACATAAAGAATAGTGTGAACTCTAGTGATGAAATTTTTTGATTAACTAACTAATTTTGAACAGCTACACAATTTCAATGATTTTTTTTAAATTTAATTTTTAACATCAATCATTTAAAAATAAGAATATTGTAAAATTAGGAAAGAAAACTGATTTTTAACATTAGCTATGATTAATGTACTTTGTATAAAAAAAACCCCTTGTTTTCAATCAAGCAATTTTCTTATCCCCCCAAATAAACAGCAATCTCAATAAATTCTTAAACTTTAATAATTATTTAATAAACTTCCAAAATTGCATACACAGCCAGAATTCCTGTCTAACCTAAACTAGTTTAACCCAAATGTCTTGATGTACGTATTTATATATATGATGATATATGCAGCAAGTTTTATGGGATATAATTTACATTATACAAGAAAATTTCAGGCAATTGCACTTCATTGTGAACCCCTCATTTACTTTTTATAAGCAGGTTAATATGGTTATAAAATATATACCTAATCTGACAGTATAATATATAAAACTAATCTGGCTGTATAATATATATAACTAATCTGTCTGTATAAAATATATTTTGCTTAGGCTCAAGAAAGGAGCATACACCTTTAATAAGTCAGTTAAAAACTAAACATTGTTAATATACTTTAGTTATTACTAGCACTTGATCAATTTAAACTATAATTAATTAGAAAAAAATGACATGCAATTAGAACAAACAGTTCATGATGTATCCACTTACATAAATGTCTTAAAATATTGAAAATAAAATTGTTTTTTTAACTATATCTGTAGAAATTACTAATATTATATAAATATTCTATTGAAAGAAAATAAACCAATGTAGCCTTTATATCACATACAAAATCTAAAATGTAATGTATTTCTATTTGACTTATTCAAATAGGCTAATTCATTTTAGTGTTAACATAGTAAATAAAAATTACAAGGAAGGGCTAGTTAAACTTTGTATATACATTCAGATATGTGGTCAGTAGGATATTGAAATTTTCCTCATTGACTAGCTGAGTTCAGTTACAGGATGATTTTAGTTAATAAATTACATATTAATTAACTAAATTCAAATTAAAAGGACAAATTGTACATCCAAAGCAAATGTAGAGTAAATGTAACTTCAATAAAAATGTATCACTAAACATATAAATATCAAAATGAGGTCATAGCCAAATGTACATGAACAAATCGCCAGCGATTGAAAAACTCTGCAAAAATGAAATATGCAACAGAAAACATAATGGCGCCTAGAATACACATTGTGTGGTCTGTCAGGTCAACTATTTACATCAGTTTCTATTTACATCATTGTTTATATTTACATCAATGTTTATATTTATGTCAGTGTTTATATTTACATCAGCTGATATGAGAGACGAAGTAGCTCAAATTATCCCAGATAATGTCAGCCATTTCTCTCTAGTTGTTTTGAAGTCCATTGTAAGTTGACACAAGGGAACTATGTTGTGGATGGCTTAGGGATACAGGAGTACTTTGGCTTGTGAAGCTTTTCATATAGTCATAATGATGATGTGGATGTCTGAGATCTATGGAGCAGTTACAAAATATAGAATAAAAACATGGACTGGATTTTCTTTTAAAATTAATATAAAAACATGGACTGGATTTTCTTTTAAAAATTAATATAAAAAACATGGACTGGATTTTCTTTTAAAATTAATATAAAAAACATGGACTGGATTTTCTTTTAAAATTAATATAAAAAACATGGACTGGATTTTCTTTTAAAATTAATATAAAAAACATGGACTGGATTTTCTTTTAAAATTAACTATTCACAATGGAAATAAGGATGTATTTTCAAATTCTATATTTAAATTGAACATTTTTTAAGAAATAGAACTCACTTGATCTGCTTGTATCGTTCCCGGTCATAACTGGTCTCTGCCGTTTCACATTCATAAGAGGCTAATGACAACACTGGTAAAATAAAGAGAATAAACTGTCAATTTTTCTCTACATTTTGTATTATTACAATATCTACTTGCAAATAAAGAGTTTTATTAATGAAATCTTTTAAACTATGTTGTATAATAAGTTTCAGTAGAAACAACTTACTAGATTCTTTGTATATGGGTGTAGTCAAAACATAATTAATGACTGCATTTTTTCTCTCAAAAGGACACTGCAAAAAAACAAAATTAAATTAAATAAAATAATTTTCAAAGCACATTTAAGTTTTAGTTTCCTTCATTCAAACTGGCAAACCCTAATATCTTAACATAATAGGAAAGATCAAATCTAAAATATTTGTATGTCAAATTAAAAATGAAGAAAATATTTTTAAAATTTAATTACCTCAACTTGCTGCCATGCAATGAGGTCTGAGATCTGCTTGGCCATCTGCCAACACTTCTGGAAGTTGACAGAACCATCCTCTTGCCTACTGGAACAGCCCTCGTTTAGGAAGTAAAGATCTTTTACAAACAGGCTGAAGAAGGGGATCACAATCTGGAAAACAAAGAAAAAATTCTGACGTTAGTTTAGCTAATTCTGTTTTAAGCGTTTTTGGTAAAAGAATGTTCATTGTGTTAATTAAAAATGTTTTTTAAAATAAAAAAAAACATTAAAAATTAGTGTTTTATTAGAACATATAAACTGACCTTTTCTCTCTCTTCTGCTGCACCCTCTGACCTCCACATAGCTGCTTTAAGGCAAGATCTGTAGCTGCCAAAGTTATTACTGGGGTCCATTTGATGCTGGAGATTAATAAAAGATTAGCAATTAGATTGGGGGATTATTAAATTATGTGTGTGCACAATTAGATTGTGTGATTATTAAATTTTGAGTGTGTGCATTTTAAAAATTGTGAAATTAGTTGGTATTCTCAAGTAGGATTTTTCAAGCGAAATATTTTCTAAAATAAAAAAAAAAAATGTGTAAAAGACTGTTATCGAGTTCAAAATAAAAGTTACCTACCTCTAGAATTTTTAACTTGTCTCTGTTTACTTTTGCCCACTGAAAAATTTAAAAGACATTTTATAAATTTTGTTTTTACGAATGTTTTTATACAATTTGTTATAACATATTTTAGTAGCTAAAACAGAATTTTGATGAGATCAGTTATCTTTAATTGATAAATATAATTTACCGAGAGGTATTATAGAAAATGACTTACTGTTTTCTTTAATCTTGTCACTGGGCTGAGGTTCATGCCAGCAATGATTGCCATCAGGGAGTTAAAGTTTCCAATGTTAATGCATTCCTTGGCAACATCAATAAAATATTCTACCATTTTCACCCGATTCTTTTTCTTTATGTGCTGAAAAATGATAAACAAACATGTTAATTCAACAATATTTGATGTATATCAACATTTTTATTACAATTTTTAGTAAAGGTTTTACTTGATTAATTACTAGCACTTAAAAATCATTGAAAGTGTAGAATACATTAGTAACCGATTCATAAAGGTATCAAACAGTAAGATGGCCAGACAAAAAGAAAACTTACTGAAGTAATTTCTGAAGCCACCAAATAGCTGAGTCTGTTAAACCACTGAACATAGGACTCTAGGTTGTGGGTCATCTTAATATCTTGTATGTTGATTATCTAGAAGATGGAATTAACATTTTTACCTATTAATTAAACCATTAATATATTTTTTTTCTGTTCATATTTTTCATATTAAATTAACTTTAAATTAAAATATAAAAATAAAAAACAGCAGGGGACTTTAACTTACATCTGACTGAAGTCGTTCTTTTGTAAAGGCTTGTACAAATTCTTCTGGTCCAATCATACTTAATCTTTCCTGATTAACAAACAAAAAAATACTAAATGTATAAAACAATCCAAACATGGTAATACAACCACAATGTTTACTTCATTTAAGAAGCCAAAACTGCATATAATATTTTTTTCTTACCAGTTCAATGTGTGTAAGCTGCTGAGCCAGGGCTAATGGACTTGGACACATCTCCATAATATCAGTCTGTAAACAGAAAGATACATTCATACTTAGGTCAAGAGTTAATTTGTTTAAGGATTCGCATAGCGGAGGAAAATTGAAGATTAAGTTTTAGAATAAAAGATTTAGTTCAAAGGTCAAAACTTACGGTGGCCACAACCTGGGTCTGAGATTTGTGTCTCTCTTCTGATTCAATTTTATTCAAAGTTTCCTCAAAACTCTTCAAGTTTGTCAGCTGTTAACAAAACAAAATAAAAATAATTACAAATATGTATAGCAGGAAAAATGTACAATATTGATACAGACAGTATATTAAGATTTTTATAAATAAAATATAAAATACATCTTAAAAATGAATGGTTCTATAATAACCAAGTTTTTGAAAAACTGAATAGAACAATGAAAGATGGGCATCATTAGTTATGTCCCTTAACAAGACATGTATTATATGGGAAATCAGAACTGCCTGTAACATAAGCAGGAGTGGTTCTGTGCATGATAACATTGTCAAACCTAACACAAGCCAGCTTAAGCAAGTCCTGTGCTGGGGAACAATGCTATCTACATTATTTAATGGCCTTTGGAGCAATAAATTTGATAGAGGGTTATTTCCCCTGAGACAATGCCCAGATTTCTGGCCAGGCAGTTCTAGATATCAACTAGACATTCCCTCAGTGCAGGTGGATGGGTAAACAGAAATGAAAGATAACTAGCAAGGGAGAGTACTCGTTTTCAAAGGGGAGTAAGAGTTAAACACCATTATTGTAGGCTAACCAGTCAGGACAAAAATAAAATACAAATAATGTATTCTTAGAATTTCCAGATCAATGTTTTGAAACAAAAATTAAATATTTTGAATGAACAAAAAATGTATTAATATCATAATGTGAAAACCATACTTCTTTTAGCTTATTCATATTATTATACACCCCTTTTGAAAATAAATAAAACAGCAATTTGTGAGAGTTCTGATGCACCATAATAGCACACATGCCTTAAACTCATATTTGCAGGTGCTGAAATTGATATCTTTTATTCAGCACAAACGCTGGGCGCATTATTTATGTAAAGAAACACATGTTCTTTCTTTTCACTCAACATAATCAAAACAATGGCAGAGTTATCTACCTTCCCCGTGGGCGTTGCTAAAAACAATAATTTCTTCAACTGGCAAGAAAAATAAAACAAAGTCTGACAGCCACTGCATCATGTAGATTCTAGATCCAGCCAAACATTTTTTTTTATAAAAGGGAAGGAAAAATAATTATGGGAGGATAATGGGTTGGGGAAAGAAAGTAAGAAGAAAAAAAAGTACCTTGGTTACCAGGTTGTAGCTGAGATTGTTTATGTCTTTTCTTAAATCTGGGTAAATGGCGATGATGCGTTGAGTGATGTCTCTTAGTTGTTTCATCATTCTTTCGTCCCGGAAGTCGTATGGAAACATTTCTGTCCACTCGCTAAAAAGAATTAAAAAACAACCATTCACATAAACACGTTTAAGTTGTAGGAAGATGTACTTTTTAAAAATCCTGACGTGACTTAGACAAACGTAAAGAGAAAAAAATGTAAATGTTTTGTAATTTTCTTTTTTTAGTTTCCTACCTGAGTAGATTGACAATGTGTGGTCCAAACTGGCCGAGCCTTGTTTTATCGACATTGTCTTGGGAGAGATTTTGTTGTAACACGCAGAGCTATTGGTCAGGAGGAATAAAAAAATTAAAACTCATTAAAAATGTTAAAAGTTAAAAACTAAAAAAAATATATAATAAATAGATATACGTAATGATTTCTTTTTAAATACATAGGAGAAATGTGAAATATATTTTGAACACATGTTTTGTAACTTTACCTTGAACACTTCTGAAAGTAGGTCATGAGGACGGATGAACAGACGTGAACTCAATAGGAAAGCAAATGTGTAGGTTCTCTGTAAGTAAAAACAACACATGTACATTTAAAAAAAAAACCTCCAGCCTGAAAAAATGTTTTTAAAAATGCCGTTAAGAGATTATTTAATGGCTGTAGTTTTAAACACTAGAGTGGGTGAAACTATTTTCATTGATGTGAAAAAAATGGGGGAAAAAACGTAATATTTGATATAATCTACTTATTTTAAACAAACGGTCATGTTGAAATTGAAGCATCATACTACTTATGTCATATTTACAACAATTTTTTAAAAAGTATATGGCGTTGTCTTCAATGTGTTGGTATAAAGTTGCTTGACTATTTTGTCAATGTTTACTGCTCCCCCTCCCAATCCCCACAAACGCTGGATGCGTATTTTCTTGATGTCTTTCCTCGCAATGTTGCCTATTTATTTTCTTGACGTTTCTCCCGTGCACCATCGTTTATTTAATTTATTGATATTTTTTCCTTGCAATTTTGCCTATTTATTTCCTTGACGTTTTTCCCCCCACAATGTTGCCTGTTTATTTTCCTGATGTTTCCCTTGCGTTTCCCGTTTAGTCACCACACGTGCAGATAGTCCTATAGTAACTACACAACCTTGCCCTCCCCCTTCCTTTAACTATTTACTAACGCGCTATTTTCATTGACTCTGCATTCCAGCGAGCGCCTTTAAGTCAATACCGCAGGGCAAAAAATAAAACAAAGAACAATGAAGCCTAACGGAAATGTAGTTAACAACGTCTTGCCTTGTCTAAAACGGAAAAAAAATTAGAAGAAGGATTTGACGTTCTATGTGGACTTGGCCAAGGAAAATATCTTGTTGATTTCCCAGCCTACTTTGGAATGTCGGACAGACGGAGTGAGCCGAGTTGACGACTCGGCAAAATTCGGTGTCTTTTTACCCCAGTGTAAACAAGAGTTAGTCCCCGTGGCCCGAACGTCATCACATACCGCAGCCCAAGGGCAACAATACAACGAGAAGGGAGACAAACGAAACTGCTTTGTTCAACGTGAATGTTCGTTTCTCGTATTTGTGAATACGAATTTTCTTTTATTTATTTTTTTCCAATTCCGATTTAAATAAGTTTAAACTATCATCAAGCAAGTTTAGCATTACATTGAAAAGCTATTTATTTTTTTCAAATTCCAAATTTAATAAGTTTAAACTATCATAAGTCAAGTTTAGCGTAACATTGAAAAGCTAGCTAACATTTGTCGATGTTCGTGTCATAAAGGGGAGTTAACAAGTTTAAGTATGCTTACATCAGGATAGTAGTCAGAGGTTGGGACTAAGTGTTGAATGAGAGCCTTCAGTGGTCCCGAATGGAGATTTCCGTTTTGGAAAATGAGAGCCTGAATAGAAAAAAAAACCAAAATGAAATAAATGCATTATAAGGCTTAATAAGACAATATGGGGTATTCGTTAGTTAGCCGTACCAATATCAGGTATTCAGAAATTCTATCTATATTGATAATGATAAATCTAAACCTAGTCCTACGTACTAGGTTAAATTACTATAGGCTGTTCCTGCTATATAACATGACGATCTTATGATAAATCGATAAAAGTAAAGTTTTTTCTCATAAAATGTATGTATGGCCCCACTGGCATAAACACAGCTAAATAATACATTACTTTCTTAACAAAGAAAAATATGTATCAATTTCAATTTGGAGATATCTGTTACGTTCCCAATACATTATCTAAAATTTTGGCTAGGACTTTCACCCCCCCCCCCCCGGGAGGCGGAGTGATATCCATCTCTTGGCGTTGTCCCCGACCTCACGCCAACCAGCGGCCGTAGACTGCAAGCGATACGTGGCTATCAACAAACTTGACCTTAACGTATCTGCAAGCTCGTCGTATTTACGTCACTTCCCTGACCCCTGGAGCCGCTTGAAGATAGGAAATGGCGGCATTTATGGCAGAAGACGGGGGAGGGGAGGGATGGGAACCAATCTCCAGAGCCTGCAGTGTTCTTTTGCTTACGATGTCATAAATGTAGCGTAACCTTATTTCAGCTAGACACTGGAATAATTCCCTACGTGTTTATTACAGGTCTAGGGTATAGAAAATAAACGCAGATCTGGAGGCCGAATGGCATTTGTAAACACGCATCTCATATACTCATATAGTGTATGATACTAGAATGAAGATACGACATGCCTACAGCGACATAGCAAACTGGCCGTTTATTGACGATGCAATTTGTGTTTATTTTATTAACCCTGATTGAATGGAGACATGCCTAGAGCGTTATTATAAACTCTTACAATTGTTGACAATTCATATAGACATGTCTACAACAACTCATGTTGGATTTCAAATTGTTAACACTCTCACTATAAATATACGTACAGCACAATGGTAAACTACATTTGTTTGAATTTCGTGTTTAACACCCTCACTACAGACATGCCCACGGAGCAATTGTAAACTATTGTTGCATTTAATGTTTTTAACACCATCACAGTCTATCTGTTGACATTTCCTCTTTTATTTTGCTAACGCCCTCAATTATCATCACTGTACCCGAGGCCTTAATTCTGAAGCCCCCCTCCCCGCACTTCCCCCTCCCCTAAACTTCCTCATTGAGTCTTAGATGTAAAAGTGAATAAGTTTCTGTAAAGCCGGCCCGGGTTTTCTCCGCAATGATCAACGCTGACAAATTCAATTATCGCCCGCCGGCCTGCCAAGCAGGTTTACGAAAGGACCAGTGCCAATCTAATTACCCAAAGATTGAGTTGTCGGATGGAGATTGCCGAATGGTTGTCTTAACTCGAAACAGATGAATGCGTGTACATTTTTCTCTCTCTTTCTAAACCTCGGTCATAGCTTGTTTAAGCCTCGTTGGCTTTCGTCCTTCGTTGAAAGGGAAATAACTCGAGTTTATAAACTAATAATTTAAAAAAAAATCACTATATAGTTCAAAATAGTGTGCACGGTGGATGTTTTCTAGTTTGCTGTTTAAACATATTTGTTTTAACTTCTCTAGACTCAAAGTCACACGTCAGTAACATTAATTTTAATTAATGGAGAAAATACCAAATTGTAACCTAATTGTAGAGAACATTAATTTTTAGAGCTTACTAGCAATATATGTATGGCTTGTCACCAACCTACATAGTTTTGATTGTCACCTCTCGGAAAGGGTCTTATTTTAGACAAATAATTTTCTCGTTTACATACGTTACTTGAGACAAATCCTTTCACACACATGTTGATGTTATTAGTTTTTATTGGAAATAAAAGTATTTTTTTTAAATATTCCCAGAATACTATGATGCAGACGCCCAACAGATGACTGGACGTAAACTCCGTAATAATATACGTTAAAAAAAAAGTAACAGGGTGCAGAGATCTAGTAACGGTAACTCCCAACAAAGAGAGTCACAAGTAAAGGGAGGTGATGCTCTAAGCAGCTTGGACGTAAACAAGGTTTTTCATTGTGATGATCAGGAGAAGATAACTCGCCAAGTCGCTCCCACAGTAGGTATGAATGAAATTGTTTGTTTGGTGAAGTGCTTTCACAGCCCATTGATTGTGTGTGCAGAAATAAAATTGCCACGGTCTTTTAAATAAAAATAGCGTGTTTATAATTTTTATTATAAACATTAACAAAAGAAAATTAAAAGTAATGTTGACAGTTTAAATTTATAGAATGCCTTTATGGAGTTGACAATGTACGTAAATAAAGAACCGGTTAAGCCTAGATTAGTGTAGTTATGTTTTCCGTGTAGCTAATGTGGGTTTAAAGAATGGCCATCTAGACAAGGGGGGGGGGGGGAGGGAGGGAGAAAGCCCGTAATTAATTTAAAAACCAGCGGGAGAAAAAAGAAATGTCTAGACGCGGGGGTCGAGAGATCTAGAATTGAGTTAAAGACGGTCAGTGCAGAAAGGACTGGTCAGTGCCAGAAGACCAGTAAACAATGGACGGTACCATGAACGGTGTACTAAGAGTTTTCTGCTTTGTATTGAGACGTGGGTTAAATAAAACAATCTCATTGATTATGTTGCAGTAATGAAATAAAAGACAACACCTTGATATCAGTTAACAGTTAACACTAACAGCGTTCAAATGGTGACATTTCTTCTTCGTTTTTGATTTGTAACATTGAAGTAAAAAACCTTACGGCTCTTGTAACATTGAAGTAAATTTCATCAAACACAATTAAATATTGCGTGTCAACATATTATACGCTTTATGGCCCATTTACTTTGACTTCAGCCTGCTTTTCTTTCTGGATTTGCTCCCATAAATTTTATCTACACAACAGCAATCTGCAAGGCAGTTTTGTATTATGTTTTTATTTTGTAGTTTTCTCTCCTAGATAGGTTGATTGTCCGCAGCTAAATGGTCTTATCTGCCATAGGGATCCGAACTCGGAATTTTTGGAGTTACATCCTATCTCCCTCCCGCCATCCCAAATGGTGAAATAAGAATACAGGTTTCTATAACTAGTCTTATACAGGCCTGCATGTTGCGCAAAGAAAACGCCTTACTAGTGGAAATTTCTAAGTGACAACAATTAACATTTCCTCAACGCCCGTCTCTCTCTTCCTTCCTACAAGTGTGGACGGACGTTTCACACATCTTAGCTTTAAATTTGGCGCTTGTTTTGACATGGGTTAGCTGCATGTTACGCTCATCCCGAGTTGACCTCAACTTTGGCTATCTTATCTACATATTTTATTAATCCTAAGTTAACCTCAGGCTTGACAATATTATCAGGGTTTTTTTTGCGTTAATCTCATTTTTTTTTTATTTAAAAACTAAAAAATTATCTTTCAGTGTCAAAAGGTTTAGAAACTTGTGTTTAGAATCACTTGTTTTATTCACCTTTTTTTTTTCTATCAAAGCCTAAAGAAACCACAAGGACAAAATACCACAAGGACAAAATACCACAAGACTTACATCTCTGTCTCTGTCCACTTCTGTCAAGTTGTTGTTGTCTGTTGCCAGGTAACCAGAACCGGAAGCAAACATCTGTGCCAGACTTAGCATCTGTGGGCCAACACTTTCACGGTTCTGATGGAGAAAAAAAACAACGAAATTTAAAAAAAAAAAAAAACTAGAATGAAACATGGACGAAATATAGTTTCTAAAAATCCTGAAATAAAAACGCTACATACATTGTTCTTTAAATCATTATCACGGTCGCGATTAGGATTATACAACAAATCCATCTTGCGGATAAAGTTGTAATTGAAATATGTGTCTGAATTGTAATCTGTAAAAATTTAAATAACAACACTCCAATGCCAGGTACTTATTCCAACTGGAAAACACATTTGCCGCGCATTCCAATTTTTTTATTTTTCAGAAGCAGAATTTTTTAAATGCACAACACATTAGCGAAGTCAGTCGACTGCAACTAAAAGCCTGAAATACAAGTCCCGGCCCTAAGTAACATAGCCTTGTTTACTGCGTGTCAGACCTGTACTTTAAACCGCCCAACGATGTATATTGGAAGCTGCAACATGCTCAACATGAACGTGTTTTAACTGGCTCTTTTGTCTCGCGCTTGCTCGCTCACTCTTAACAGTTTCAAGAGTTGTCTTTCCTGAACTAACAAAACAAAAAAACAAAAAAACAGGAGTAGGTGCTCTTGTTTTAGACAAGGGCATTCACTCTTCCGAAATAGCGGGGGAAAATGGTGTTATGAGCGTTATCTATGGCGCGATCGCCTTGTTTACCAAATTACAGCAGATCTCGGTTATAGACATTTACTTTAAAGCGATGACGGATAACGACAATTACTTTATCTCCTAATGTACATAGCAATTTACCTGCTTTCTCTTTTCTCTTCCATTCCGAACCCATTTCTATCCGCGCTACTGATGTAATGTAATATGCGCTTTGAAGCAACATAGACCCCGCCCAATATAGATCTACATTACATATTCTACCACACCTTATGAGATGTTCGTATGTAATATCACCCCACCTTCATCAACGGGTGGTCTGGTTATGATGTAAGAAGTTCATCTTGACCACCAAGAAGCGTGCTTGACATACCAGGTATTCGTCGAGGTCAAATATTTAAGACAATTCCCAAAACTGCTGAGTAGGTGAAATGTCCAACGACATCTAATTTACATTTTTTTTCCTTAAGCAAGATCTAGATATGTCTCTATGTTTAAATGTTAATGTTGTTGTTAAAAATAGCTTGACCTTGCCCTCCTGACAGTGTGCACCTTCCGTCTAAATTTAGCTAGAGGACACCATCGCATTAATTCATATTTCCTGCCGCATTCGTTTTTTGTGTTGAGACAAATGAACCTACCTTTTCGATGGCGGTTATTAATAGCGCTGTCACGTGACTATTTTTGTCTTGTTTTTTTGGCAGAGAGTAAGATGTATGGAATTCGGTTAACGAAAAAGTTTGTTAATTGGGGGCGGGGGCGGCTAGGTAGGGGGGGGGGGTTATAGACGTGAAACAAATATTTTGTTTTAAGCTCGGTAATGCTTGATAGGATCTAAGGCGGTGATGTAAACACGACGCTTAAGCAGACGGCGTTTCCGTTGATCTAACGGTACGATCTAACGCCCGATTTAAAATCTGATTGATCTTGAACGGCTAATAAAGATTAGGCTAGAATTGGGACAATTGGGTCATTAAAAAAAAAGATCACTGATTGTAATTAAGATATATTACAATTCCTGTGAGTTTGTATGTATGCATGTAAGTGTGTATGTGAGACTATCTATGTATGTGGATCTGAAAGGCTTAGCTAAAGACTTTGCTGTTTGCTGTTGTGACAATTACTGCTGTTGTGACAATTACTGCTGTTGTGTCAATTACTGCTGTTGTGACAATTACTGCTGTTGTGACAATTACTGCTGTTGTGACAATTACTGCTGTTGTGACAAGTACTGCTGTTGTGACAATTACTGCTGTTGTGACAATTACTGCTGTTGTGACAATTACTGCTGTTGTGACAATCACTGCTGTTGTGACAATTACTGCTGTTGTGACAATTACTGCTGTTGTGACAATTACTGCTTTTGTGACAATTACTGCTGTTGTGACAATTACTGCTGTTGTGACAATTCTTTTATCTTATGAACACATTTTACATTTATATTTGTAATGTCTTATGTTTATTTCTTTACATCCCAGTGGAATATTGAAAAATGTAATGATAATACAAAGTTAAATTATATGTTGGCGATGAAACTATTGATATATTCCGAATTTTTTTTAAAAAAGGAAATGTTCTCTTTAGACCATTGGAAAGATGAAGATTTCATATATTTCTTGACCTCGACATAACAAAGGGATGGTGTGGTCAGCACTTTTTCCATCCGTCTTTTACATTTGAATTCAGTTTAAAATATTCGATGACAAATGAGTTCTGGTAAAACATTGAAATAACGGGCAATGTCACGTGGTCACTACCATCAGCTGAGGTCATGTGACATGGTGAGGATGTTGTTTCCTGCATTAGGTATCTCTCACTTCAATCTCGTTAGACGCCCTCGCACGGTCGGTCAACGTTACTCAGCGGATCCGCCCACTCGCCGTGTTGACAAGATGAACACAATAGTGCACAACTCAACACAGCACAACACAGCATAACACAACACAATCCGCCCACTCGCCGTGTTGAGAAGTTGAACACAATAGTGCACAACACAACACAATCCGCCCACTCGCCGTGTTGAGAAGTTGAACACAATAGTGCACAACTCAATACAACATAGCTAGAAAGATTTTTTTAATAGTTTTTTTTTTGTTAGTGGATATAAAAAGAAAGTTTTATTTCAGATCTTATAAGTTTAAATTTAATATTTTGGCAGCAGTCTTTATTTTAACATTTGTGATTCTAGATCTTGATTGCTTCTAGATTGCGATTTTTTTAAATCCACCCATTTAATCCTGCTACGTAGTGATATGTCAGGGGAACACAACTTTATCTCAAAACGTAGCTTAGTACCAAAATATAAAATTGTCCAAAACATAACTTTATCCCAAAATTTAACTTTATCCCAAAATTTAACTTTATCCCAAAATTTAACTTTATCCCAAAATATAACTTTATCCCAAAATATAACTTTATCCCAAAATGTAACTTTATCCCAAAATGTAACTTTATCACAAAATGTAACTTTATCCCAAAATGTAACTTTATCCCAAAATGTAACTTTATCCCAAAATATAACTTTATCCCAAAATGTAACTTAATCCCAAAATTTAACTGTATCTCAAAATATAATTTTATCACAAAATGTAAATTTGTCTCAAAACGTAACTTTATTCCAAAATGTAGCTTTATCCCAAAACGTAACTTTATCCCAGACAAGTTTATTGAATTCAATAAATGCAATTAGCAATTACATTTTAAAAGGTAAAACTTTTTTTTTATATTAAAGAATATTACTGAATCTTAATATCGTCATAACTTTATTCATGCTTTAAAAAGTTTGTTTTATAAAGTGTCGAGTATTTTAAAAGTGGTTTCATTTACAATATTTGATATTTCAACACCTACCTCAATACCCATTGTCGAAACGCCGTGTTGATTATAGCCAACAAGTTAAAATAATTACTCCAAAAATAAATCCTTGAATTATTGAGTCCTTAAAATTATATCACAAAATAGTTTTACAAGTTTGAATTATTTGACTGCCATACACCACAGCTGTATAGAAAATACTGATGACGGTGAGCTCAATACAGAGCTAATGAAGCTCAGAGTTGTTCACACACAGAGTGAGCACAAGCGAGTGACCTGCTGTAACGAGCGCTCACGAGAAAAACCGTTGGTCAGGGAAAACGAAACTCGTGCTTGAAACAGCCAGTGGGAATTCCTCGAGTTTAAATTTGAAATGACGTGAGTGCTCGCGTTTTATATAAGGAGCGCGAGGTCAAGTTGTTGAGTGGAGCCTCCTACACAAAGTTGAGGAGGGCGGAGGCAGGAGTGGGGGGGGGGGGGGGTTAGGACGGGAGGGGGGTAGGGAAAACTACTGGCCACTCGGTGTCACAGGCGTCAGTATTGACGATGTTTACTGGTCGTCCGTGATAATTTCTAACACTTTGAACACCGATAATCTACGCGGCTTTGAGAGATTTTTTTTGTCAAGGTTAGGGGAGATGTCAAAGTAATTGGATGGGGGGAGGGGGAGGGAGGTCACAAGAGGCGGCTGGACACTACATGGGCATGTTTACAGAGGGTTGGGGCGCAGCGTAGGGGTGGGGGGGTGACGCTTCTATATGGGCATGTTTTCTAGGGGCGTTGGGTGGGGGTACACATACATTCTTCTATATAGAAATGTTATCAATGGGTTTGGGGCGCTGGGTGGGTGGGGGGTGGGGGGGTGACATGCTTTTATATGGACATGTTTTCCAGTGGTTGAAGTCGTGTTGTCAAGCTTATATTGACATGTTTTCTGTTATTGAAGACTGGTGATAAGACGAGTGTATGGAGGAGGGGGGGGGGGGGGTGCTTCCTCTAAGTTGAGCTTATAATCCAGCCGCCAATCATTATGTAGAATACATTTTAAATTACACGCAGTTTCCTTGCACCGCTAACAAGAACATAAATTTTACGAGCGTGGACGTTGTCCATCCTTGGGTGTAACGCAAGAGGGGGGTGGGGGGTGCAAGAGGAGAAGATGCTTTCTGGCGGTCCTTTCAACTTCGATTAGAAAACATCAACACAACGGCCCAGACGGTGGCTGTTAAACACGGACACTGGTCAACAGGGTATTATTCACTGGCCAGCTGACAAGGTCACTCGAGCCGTCTACTGTCAAGGTCATCCACAATATTGACCCTTCTAATCCTGACCCTGACCGGGGACCCACACCCCAAAATAAGTAGCGGAGCTTCTGTGGATAGTAAAAATGTCTAAATGATCAAAAGCGTTGTCAACTTCAATTTGCAGACATATATTCTGTTTATCGCTTACGTATACTAGACTTATGATGTGCCCATTCCTTACTTATCCAGGAGGCATACTGTATTTATTCGTATATACCCTATACGCAAAATGTATTTATCCTTACGTATCCCATCGACATAC